TACGAGGCATAAATACTTCACATTTAAGTCATGCAAGCTCCAGAACATAACAGTGTGCTTTTTGATGGAGACTGATGATAAAAAACCCTTTTGTGCTTTCATAACAAATACCAAAGGAACCCATAACTCAGAGTGACACACCTGCAACACGTGTTAACTAATCAGGGCTTTTACTCATTTGATTTGTAGCTTTCACGCAACACCAGTCAGATACACAATGAGGTAGCACTAATAATTACATATAGTATGCTATAACTTCTTCCTTGCTTTTATCATGGCATAGTTTGCAATTGTAATGGCCCATGGATTGCAGAAGAGGACTTGTATTTATAGTGCATGATGCTTATCTTGACAGTGGCACCAGTTTAGAGGAAGCTTCACATATGCTTCCTTACTAGCAGGCATAATACATATAAAACAGTTAGTGTAGCCGTTTTGTTCCAAACACCTTGCCCGAACCAGTTATCTAAACCGGTGTGTTAATCCCATTAAAAAAAGGTCATAAAAACGGCTAAATATTCCAAAACTAAATGTACTGTACCTACTTTTAAACAATATCAAATCCTACTATAAAGGGAAAGATGTTTTCTGACAAGAATACACAGCAGAGGTGCCTGGCAACTTCTATTTACAATGCTTTTCTCATAAAGCGCCAACATATGAACCCGAGGCTTTCATTTTGAGCAGCAGAATTGTTTTGTTAGCAGTCATCAACAACAACAACAACAACAACAAACACCAGCAAAATGTGCCATCTGTAAAAGGTTCATGAGCTGTAGGTGAATGATGAAAACGACATACCGTGTCTCATCTCAGGCTGGGTAGGAGCAAGTAGGCTTTCTATTTAGGAACTCTGTGTCTAATGTGTTCACTCATTGTAAGCCATTGGAAACAATTCAACTAACACTTAAGCAGCGGTAAATGTAGTCAGGGAAAGACTTCTATAAAGCTATTTACAAATGACAATACAAGCTTACATTGTGTAACCTTGCATCACTATTATTCAACAGCTGATTCTGTGGCTGATTGCTCATTTCTTTTTCAAAGCTCCATCCAAAGCAGCTCTACAGATCTCGTAAGAAGATGCTAAACACCTGGGCGATAATGGCACAATCTGTTATGGTGATAGACAAACACCTGTTAGTGGCCTCTCTGCTGCCTTCATCGCAAACAACTTGGCCTCTATAGCTATTGACAGTGTCAACAACACATTATACACTCAATTATATATTTCTTGCCTTCCACTCAAGAAAGAAATGTCATACGACTTTGAATGATGTATGTTATAACCAGAATATATTTTTATGTAAATAACTTTGGCATAAAAGAGTCTAAATTAAAAGAACGTTTTATAGGCCCGACTTGTGTTGTGAAACAGAACACTAGAACCCAAACTTCAGTTATCTGATAGCCTGAACGGAATAAAAGAAAAAGGTAATAAAAGCCATTTGTGATAGCTTACTCTGGTGGTTGTAACACTTAAGTGTCGACATCATGCCTACAAAGTGTTGGATAAAAGACGCTAAGAGGCTGAAGTCGTTCACAAGTCAAACCCGAGTGTGCTACAAAAGGGGAGAGTCAGAAGTCGAGTGATCTCAGCCTTTACTTCAGCCACACAGAGGACCTTGTTGAGAGCGCTTGAGCCAGTGTTGTGCTCATTGTTTCCTCAGATGCTTCACCTTCTTTTGATATGAGCAGCGCTGTTGGTTCACCCGGACCTCAGCAACACTTGGAGTAATGACACTATATTTCATTCATCTAAAAAACAACGAGTACAGCGCTTCCTTTGAAAACATTACCTTTGGCAACAAACTCACACACCTACAAAAGACAAACACACCTGACTGTTGTCACTGACAACACTTGCACTGTTATTCCCATGCAGATCAACAACAGGTCTGAGTTTGTTTACAGCAGTTGAAGAGAATAACAGAGAACAAACAATAGCCCCTTAGGATATAGTTTGTTCTATTCAGTTGATCAGGGGTCAAAGTTATTTGTCCTACAAACAGAGGGCCCATGATAATAAGGCCTACTGAATCCACTTGCTCCAGCAGCACTGGCTAGAAACTGACCTGGCACTCTGACCGCTCTGTAAAGGGAACAAGTGAAAAAAGGTTCAATCTCTTCCAGGAATCAATGGGAATTCCCCCAGGCAAACCCTCCTGTTTACAATTAAATTAGTGAGAGTTGAAATGAGTTTGGACCATGCACTTCAGGCTTTTTTAAGGTAATTGGGATAGGCGTATGCAACAACGAATACAGAATGAGTTGTGGGACTGAGCTTGAGAGTGACTTTGAACAGTAAACAGCCAGAGGAATAGCAGTTTGTGCCTCCGCCGAGAGCAGCAGTGAGAGATCAGGTGGTTTGCTGCGCTGCTGTAATTAACAACCTCAGCCAAATCCAGCCAGGCATGACCGGCAAATTAACATGCAGCAGCTTTCACACTCGATCCCACCGATCTGCTCAGTGAGCAGAAAACCAATACAGGCCGGCTCTGAAAACAGCCCAGACCACGGATTGCCCTTTCAACTCCAATACCTCTGACACTATGACTAGTCTCCATGAGCTGGTTGAACACATTTCTGCTCCTAGTACTACAAAACGGCAGAGAAAATAACTTGCAAAACATTTGACAACAAATGTGTGTAGCTTAAAGGAAGCTGAATTTGGACTGTCAACTGCCAAAAACTCAAGTTATGAACTAATGTGTGCACAATTGTGGAGCCCCTAAATTGTTCTGCCTGTAGCAGGAGAAGAAGGCTTAGTTTATTGTTACTGAAACACACTATAGCTGTTACCATTTTGTAATAATAATATGAGGGATGTCAGCCTGACTGACAGCTTTACTTTAAATCCTTCTCCTACATATATGGAATAGTAGGGCTTCCAAAAATACCAAACACTGCCAGCAACTAATTGGAGTCAGCTATATTTCCACAAGTCCCTGTAGTGACTTCCACAGCAGTCCCATCTCTCATCACTGTTTCCTGTTCACACAGGAAGCAGCAGCACCAGGAGGAAGTCCTTCCTTAGCTGAAAGCACGTGAAATCAGGGAGGCAGGGTGACATTAACACGTTGGCCCTTCTATCAGCTACTGGACAAACAGACCCGCCTTATCTTTAACTGCACATGAGGGAAAGAAAAACACAGAGGCGATGTCACGCTCGGTATTGACCTCTACTTTGGTTCTACTAGTCTTGACATTGAAGGTGTGCTGATAGTAAAGAGATCTCTCTATGTCAACTTCAAAAAGTTGTATACTGGCTGTCACAGTCTAGTGCAAGCATGCACCTGTCAAGACTAATAGTTGAATCCATCTAAAAAGTACCTTATTGCAAGAGTGATTCTTAGTTTCCGCAGACTTCCTCTGCAAACCCAACTTCACTTTCACACTTTGAAGATCAATTAAAAGGTAGTCTTATCAAAATCAATCAGTGAGAAATATCCGGCGGAACCTCTAACCACAAATATAGGTTCCTACCTTTATACCCACAGTGTTAATTGGCTCCTACAAAGGGTAAGGAATCAAGTTATACCAATTCATTTTTAAACCATGCTATTCTTGAATATTTTAGTAAACATCAAAACATATTGTAAAAAACGTAAAGCTTTAATAGTTACAGAGTATTATTTCTCCATTATAGTGTAAGTACAAATACATAATAGGTTTATAAGTCTACATATTAAACTGCATTACCTAGACGTCCAACCTTACGAGATAGAAACTCTACGGTATAATACCTGACCTACAATGGATAGAAAGCACTTCACATACAGTGGGTTGCGCTTATACAGAATCCATATCTCACAATTCCCTCCAGTCAACTTTTTCTCCTCTCCACACTTTCCCAAAGTACCCTGACCCAGTTGTATCTGTGGTACAATGAGAATAGCAGAAGTGTGTACATACAAATGCTACAGTCTCCAGTACAATAAAGGTGCTGTTTGTAACAGTCTTCAATAATATGCAATGAAACATAAACATTTCCAAAAGACAACAAATGTTGTGCTTTAGAGTTCTATATACCTCTCTGATTTGTTAATGCTGATTTTGAGTCATGTTGACTTATTTCAGCAAAACATAATAGACATAAACGACTTCAGCATGTCTCCTGCCTTCTACTTGCATGTTTTGCAGTGGAAAGTGGATTTGGCAATGAGACTCATAGTGGTATAGTAATATTGATCAATGAATGAAACCATGAAGGTGGATGGGAAATTGCCTCCATTATGTGTAACAGAAAACTCTGATGGCAGCACAAGTCAGCACTAGAGAGCACATTCATGTCTCTTTCCATTATAATAGTGAAGGATGACAGGGTTGGAACAACAGCCACACAACAGTCTGTTTTATGACTGTCATAACCTACTGCACTTCCTTGTCTAATGAAAAAAACATAGGACATTACCAATATGCTTTCTTTACATTACATTTTCTAATTAAATATCTCTAGGACAGAGTAACTTCACATTAGCTTGATATGAAAACAGCTAGGGGAAAGCTATATTCTCATTTCATTCTAAAGTATAACACGTGTTATGTGTTTGTGATGTGTCAAGTCACACAGGTGCACTTACTACGTTTTTAAAACAACAAGGGAGACGTTGGACTAAAATGACAACAAAGGTTGTAGTGGGTATCTGCTTCTAAATGATGCCCTGACAAGGCAGCATCAGTTAGCATTGGCTTGCTAGTTAGCCACAAGGGGTGCTAGCTCACAGCAGCTAGCATTCATGCCTTATCACAGTGCCACTTGCCCGATATTTGTACGTAAAACAATCAATGAAAACATGTGGTGAGTTGCAAACACTTCAAATTAGGAAGGTAGTTTTTGCTGCCCGTTGAAATTAAATGTCAGGTAGCTTGCATAAATAACCGTAGTGACAGCCAGCCAGCTAACCTGACGCCTTGTTTGACGTTAGCTGTCGGCTAGCTAGCACGACTAGCTAAGCCTCGGCGATGCAGCATCAAAAGCACGGTGACATTTCGCTCACCTAACAGTGACCGCAGGTGTTTCAGCCGGGTCAGTACATCCTTCTTTGGGTCCAGAACTTTCTGTGTAGATTTCTTGACGTCTCCATGCCCCCTTCGAGTGAACATTCCGCTGTAAAATGCAACCGTGAAGGCTGAAATCACCTGTGCTTCACCATACACCGAGCCTCCAGTGTGACTGTCACTTTCCTCACCACCACTCTATGCCTGCTCGGTAAACATTCGTCCGACGGCCGCTAGTGTCCTGTTTTCTGTGGGTGTGTAAAGTGTAAACACGGAAGAGCAGCCTGACAGAGAGGAGTGGTCACATTATATGAATACGCCTCCTTGTTTATACCCGTTGCACCTTGCACTAAGAGGGGGGCTTGTTTTTGTGAATTTTAATAAGTAATTTCACCTTTCAATTTAGGCAATATAGTTTTGGTTTATGCTCAAGCTGTTGCATTGTGAAGATGTGGGGTTCGTTTGATAGAGTGCCACACTATTGCCTCTTAAAAAAAGAGAAACAAAAGCTTGAGTGCACTGTCATGCAGTTAACTTTAGGTTGAAGTCTGGCGCCCATCTTTAGTCTTAAACGGGGACTTATCGATTCCAATTACTTCTTACAATAGAGGTTTAATAAGAGGAGGTTGGGGTCTAGTAGTAAATATAGATCCCAAGCGCCCCCTGGTGTTTGACATAGTAAAACACAAATCACAGGGAACAACAGTATTTAAATGAATGGAAAGGAGACTTGCAAATATTACTTTTAATGGAAATTGCCTTGCCCACGTATTTTGGATTAGATGTTTATTTTATGTTAGGGATAACTCTGCAAATAAAGATAATTTTCATTATTGATTAACGTGCAGATTTACTTTTGATATACACCAGGAAAAAACATTACAATGCCTTTTAGAAATTCCTAAACCCAAAGAGCCAAACTGCTTATACTATATATATATATATAAATAAAGGCTGTTGTATTGCTTATTTAGTTATATGGATTTTTCGAATCTGTTTCAATTTTACAAGTTGCAGGCCTTGAAAAGCGCAAACAAAATGTACTTACTTTAGACGTACTACAAGCAAATGTTTTAATTTTAGGAGCTGGAACCAGGCTTTTTTTAGAGCATTTTTTTAAATCTTAGAAATAGTAATAATGAGTTACATTTCTGTAAATGCCCTCATGCATTAATCATTTACACTCTAGACTTCAGTTTCTCTAAGAGCTACAATAAAAAGTACTGTGCTGAAATTTGGACTTGTCATAGCATGGCAAGCACAGATTTAATTCTAAACATTAACGATGGCTGCATTCCATTTATTTCAGTTCTAGAGGTCTGGTATTGTGCAAGTTGCTACATGTTAGCTCTAAATGGAACAGTCACCATTACTGTTATTGATTCCCAGTGGCAGAACGTTACTCATTTCCTTTAGTACTGCACTTAGGTACAAATTGAACATACTTGTACTTTGCCTGAGTATTCTTCTCTTGTTCCTGCTACTACTTTCCTTTACTTCTACTCCACAATTTTTTAGTGTTAAATATTATACTTTGTATTTCACCTTTATTTGACAGGACTTTTTAATAATGGAGGAAAAACTTAGCTAATGAATTGATATTGAACATAGTTATAAGAAGTAGTCCTATACAAAATAGTATAGGACTTACAAATATTTAAAACATGTTTTATTTTAGAGCCATCACAATATTAAAATTGCTTTTGTGTTGATGCACTCCTATAACTTTCTGCTTTAAGTACTGTTTCTTTACATGATGGAAGGTTTTCCTGGTTATTCTTAGCTACTTACTATTACTTGTGTAACATTTTAATGCGATAATTTAACTTAAAGTGTGGTATTAGTGTGGTATCAAAACGTTCAATGAAGTAAAGGATGTGAATACTCTCTCCACCAGTGTTGTGTATAACTAGGTATACAGTAATGTGTCTGCAGGATTAAGTTGTATTAATAGTAGGTGTTCTATCTGATACAATATTCTGCAGTATGAGGGTACAACTCACTTAGGTCATGCTGTATAAATGCACATCAATGTCTATGTATTAACTACATCATACTGTATTTAACTCCAGCTCACAACCCATTTCAACTTATAGTCAAAGCCTTTATTAAAAATACTGAGTGTCTGGGAATATTATCCAAAGCTAAGAGCACCAATTGTTACAATGCACTTACGAATGAACCAGGAACCTAACTTCCAGATGAAAGAAACCTGTAGTTTTTGATATCACCACTCCACTTCACTATGGTGACACTTACAAAGAGAAAAAAGGTAGAACAGCTTCACTGCTCACTCAAGCCGTTGCCACTTGACACTTAAAACTGGAGGTTTTGATTAATTAAAATAAGAATACAAGCTCTGCTTTTACATATCAGAGCTCTCCTGCAGTTATAGTAAACTCGGGGTTATGGTAAATTGAACAGAGTTCAGTGTGCTCATGACTTTAATGGATTTCAAATTTATTTATTTTACATGGTTATGCAGACAGCAAATTCCATCTTGGGAATGTAAAAAGGCATTTATGTTCTGAGATGAATCTTACATTTGAAGAAATTGGATGCATCCGTTAATCAACCCCAAACAAGTTGACATTTGGTGCAATCTCACACTTTCGCTTGTCTGAACCTATCTGTCTTATTTTAGAGGCAATTAATTTTGAGGCTTAGCTGGGGAAAATCATTTTATTTACACATTATACACACATCCCATTAAAGACAGAGCTTAGACTGTAGAGTTGAACTTTGTGACTGAGAAATCTTTTTAGACTTAAACTAATGCAGAGAAATAAACATATCTTCATAACTGTTCCCCCTATCAAATATCACATTATGCAATCCTGCAGTTTTTTTAAGACTTCCTATTATAAGATAATGTCTTTATATATATAGGAATAGCTACATTTTGTATGTATTGTACTCACAAAAACCTCAAATGAGACTCCACATGAGATTCTGGAATGTCCAAATTGACCAGGAGGTGGCGCCTAAAACATTGGTAATATGAGGCAAATAAACATACCATTAAAAGCTTCACCTATCATTGAGGGTCTGAATATTTTTACCAATAAACAATGCATGTTACTATGTAAATGTATCCTGTAAATATAATGTATAATGTCATTTATTGTTTTATGTTTCATGTGGAACCTAAGCTGCAGGTCTCCCTTGAAAAAGAGATCTATGATCTCAATGGGACCAATCTCGTTAAATAAAGGTTTGAAATTAAATTAAATTAAATGAATGTGCAGGCCTGGAAAAATAGGGTGCTCATCAAAAAAATGTATGAAACTTAATTAAAAATGGCAACAAAGAGAAACTATAATCAAGAAACATTTAAGAAGGATAATAAATAATTAGGTTTTGTTTGAATAACTCAACTGTTAAAGTAAAATAAAAGCAACAATGTCAGTGTTGACGAGTCGACTGTGAAGATTGGTATGCCCTCAACAAAGAAACCAGACTGTATTTTATTTCATTTACCACCCCCACATATTGAGACACTGACAATGTTGTGAGACTTATTGTCTCTTTCTTTTTCAAGGTTCTGCACAATGGATGTCTTGAATGATAGGAGAGCGAACAGAGGGTAGTGAGAGCGGAGGCCAAAGAGGAGGAGTAAAAAGAGGTGTTCAAATCAGCCTTTGCCCTGCAGTTTGGTATGACACTCATTATCTGAAGTGGGCCATTCTGAGAAAGGAGGAGGTTGCCTGTCACAACAGATGTTGATTACACAAAACAGGGTAGTTTGGAAGGATGCGTGAATAAAACACAAGCCCACACACATACACAGACACAGGGTTATTGTTGGTGCTTTGTCACGAGTCTTAATTGATTGTAATCACCATTCCTTCTTGGCAAAGCTCCCCTGTTCTTGAAGTGCAGGTTATTGCTCATTATCTAAAATGGCTTGGACCTACGATAATCTATCAACAATAACAATGGAAGTGCATTTTTTTCTCCTCTCTCTAATCCTGCACCTGGAAGTATTTTCAGGGTTCAGCCCATTTCTGAAATAATACACCATAGGCTGCGACAATTCAACTTTATAGCTCACCGTAGAGGCCATACACTGCTTTCTCAAAGATACTTCAGTGCCCAATAAGACAATTACGGTGCCAACTGTGACATTATTTCTGAATTAGATCATTTCATTCAAAATGGGATTTCCAGTGTATGAACCAGCATAATTCATTCTTTTTTTCATGCAGGCCTAGAATTGCCAATTTCCAGGGCCTGGCAGAGAAGAGAAGCCCTCATCATGACCAAATGGTGGCACTGCAGCATCACAAATGCAGACCCTCCTTCTCATGACCAGGCTGTCGGACTGATTCCAATCCAATGTTTGAAAAGCACTTGTCTGCTCTAAATTGTTCTTATAAAGAGCTTGGAAATACTTGACTTTTCTCCTTATGTGGTTATGGATTTCCTTTTTGTACAATTAAGTGCCATTAAAAGCTAATGTATCCTGTTAAACCACATTAAGGTGTTGGGGGTGGACAGTGGCACAGTTCAGAATATTGTGAATAGGAGCCCCACTCTCTGAGCATTTTAAAAAAAAAAATCTATATTGGACCATTCAGAAACTTCAGGATGAAAAGGATCAAAAGGGGAAATGTCCACAGGGCTGCTGATTCTCCTGGCTGTGAGACCACCCACAGCTGCTTGACATAGATGAGCTACAAAGCAATGAAACCATGAAACAAAACCAATCTGCGATTGACTCAACCGGGAACACGGGCGTTTAGTATCTAACACGGAAGCTATCTTTTTATGTTCACAATATTTGTATGAGTAAAATAAAAATTATAAATATATATTGCTCAAATTACATAAATTAACGCCATTAATTAAATATATTTTGCCCCATTGTGATGTTACAGTAAATACATTTTATATTAGAAAAATGAATCCTATTTATTAAAATCTTTTTCTACAAATAACACAAACAAGAAGCTGCCATTTATATTTAAGCTCCCACCAGGGGTCGTCATGGTGCCCTTAGCCACCAAGGTTATCTAACCTTATCTAACAAGTTCAAAGCACTATATTCATTATTTTGGAGCCTAGAAATGTGCACGCCTTTCTAAACAGCAAAGTGAGGAAAAATCTTGTGTTCTTGTATGAAATTCTCGCCTTTTATTTGTTCAAACGCTACAATTATGAAGCTCTGTATATGGATACAAGTGATTTCTGAATCTAGTGTTTGTAATGCACACTGTAGTTTGGAGCACATCTCCATGGAGGTTAATGAGGGGGCACT